CTCTGGTTCCTCTGGAGGAGATGTGCTGACGTCCAGGGTGGCTACGTCGTTTGGGATATGTATGGACATCAACCCGTATAAATTTGAAGCTCCCTTTACGGCTTGGGAGTTCGCGAATCGGGTCATCAACTCCAAGTCCCAGCTGGTTATTCTGTCGATGGCCTGGACGACGTTTATGAGCCGGGAGGAGCTGGATGCGCTGGCTGATAAGCCGGATTTGCAAACTTTTAATTACTGGATACAGAGATTTTGGCCTCTAGTCAGGGAGAAGATGCGCCACGATGTTGACTTAGGATTTGATGGCCATGAAGCCGAATGTGCAGAGGAAAAGAAGATTGTCATTGTCTTTGGGAATAGGTGTGGAGAGGAGGGATCGGTGCGCTATGCGGGGACAAGTGCGATTATCGCCATTACGCAGCGCCCGGGGACGGTGCAGGATGGCGATGCTGGGGAGGAGTTACCGTTTGATGTGAAGATCCTTTGCTGGGATATACTGGGTGCGACGACCGAGGGTATCTGCTTTGCTGATACCACAGCTGATCCGAAGACGGTGTTTGGATTGGTTAAGGCGTCGCAAAAGTGAGGGCTGCAGCTTCTTTTGCCGCGCTATAGTATACTGTCTGGGGTATTCTGACGGTGCACATGATGAGACACCTACTGTTGAGCATTGGCGAGGAAGACTTTCACATCGGTCAAATGGGTTCCACTCTGACTGCTCGATGTGTTAAAATACTTGATATGATATCAGAACTGTCCAAATCTACGCAGCGATCTCTGGATATCCGATTCTCTTTTGATGTGAAGCAGCCCGAAGTAATAGGGTTAGCCTTGCCACAATCGGCAGCAATCATGTGAATGGTTGATAATCGTCCTCCCCCTGGATCCATGTGACAGTGGAAGGAACCATTCCTAGACCACGAATATGAGAAAATCTACTGCCTCGCAGATTCATCTAGACAAGTATGCGCGAGCGATCCATCTATGCCAGCCCCTTGAGACAACATATTAGTACTACCTACCGATGCGAGACTGGCGTCCATACCCTACTTGGACGGACCTGCGGCGGCGATGACGGCCTATCTCATGACCGATTGATCAGCAACCTATCAGACGGTCTCAACCCAAACAAGGGAGGCGTATTAAAAACAATGCAACCTTGAGAGGGACGCTACCGCAGAATGATCTTCGAGAGTAAGCTTGAAGACTTTTGATCGACACTGCGGAAAGCACCATCCGCTTCGAGTGGGAAAGTTTGGTTCTAATGCGGATGTGCATGTGACACGAAAGGTCAGATGGAGTCGCATTTGAGGTAAACCGAAATTGACTAGGTATTTGCAGACAGGCAATAGTCGAACAAGCATGAGGCCACAGATATCAGGTGTGAAGCAAGTTCAGATTGTGTGTATATCTGAAGATCTGCGACCACGCACGTCGGTCGAGACCCGAGAGACAGACACCATCAGAGACATGGCAGGGCATGGTATGCATCGGCGTACATCCCGCTACTTTACGATGGCGTTCTCCAGATGGACCGTGCTCCCTACCAGGACCCTAAAGGAGGGTCGGCCCGACCGGGATGGGCACTGAAGGAGTGAAGGTATGGAGTACTAAAAGGTACTTGATGGTATCTAGTCTCTTGAGACAGACCAATAGTGGTTGTTGAAAACGGCCGCGAGTCAGTGCATTCACTAGGTCTGATAGACGAGGCATGGCATCCTCCGCCTCAAATAACCAGGAAACTTCCATACAATTGTTTGACTCTCATCATCCTGATTTGGTGATTACCTTAAGAGTCGCACGTGATCCCGGGTCAACCCCTCCTCCGGCAACCGCCCAGGGTAATCCGCGCAACCAATCAGCGATGAGAAGAGGGACATTGGCAGAGGAGGGGGCACGGGATTGGAGCACATGACATCCAAGAACGAAGAGGGAGGGTACCTACCTTAGTAAAAGATATAGCTAATGGGAGAGATATTGCATACCAGACAAGAGTTGACTCCCCTTCATTAACAGCTTGGGAAGGGGAAGTTCCGGTGGAGACAGCGAAAGACCATTCTGCTGGTTCTTGGACGGCCCAAGTCAGGTGACTTTTCTACGCTTCTGGTCGCTGCTCCTCACCGGACCACCGCCGCCTCGACTGTTCTGCTCCCATTATTGTCCCTCGCCACGTGAGCGCTTCTCTCTACTACTCGACTCTACTCCTCCAAATATCCCTTCTTTCTATTGTAAAGGCCGCCACTTCTTTCTGTTCGTTTTCTGATCCGGTCCGTCCGTTGTCTTTACATTGGACGTTTCCATATTGAGTCTTTCCTCGCGATCAAATTCGATTCTTGGTCTTCGCGATCGAACTACGATATACCTGCCTCTTGTTGTTGCCCGTGGCAGGTGACTTGCTGTCAGGTGATAGACAGACCATCCCAAGGTACAGTGAGCTCACTCCTCCTATTCGCGATTCCTATCTTTCATTGCATCTTCCCTCTGCCGTACTCCACTACTTCTGAAGCTTCAATAAGGCCCCAGAAGCATCTCATCATGCCCTTCTCTGGGCCTCTGCCCCGTCCGCCGTGAGCCGGATGAGGTCGATTTTGTGATGCTATCCTCTCTTCCCCTGTTACCTCGGTCGCAGAGCCATCATGACGCGTTTCTGATGTCGACTATGCGACCATGAGGTTTTCTCTGCTGATTGATGGTTTGCGCATCAACTGGCTTGTTGGCGCATATTGATTCCATCAATCTAATTGTGTATTGCATGTTTCTGGGATTTCATTGTCATCCAATGTCTGTTTTGATGCTATGGTGCGGAGACCAGCGCGTCCAGCCTCACGCGTCTTAGTATATTCGCTTCTCACTTCTCAGCATATCAATATCTTCTTTTTGGTGAATGTTTACTCGCGAGAAATATTCTCTTTTTCCTTCCTCACTGCTCTGCATTATTTGTTTTCCTCGCTGTTAAACTCATTACTTTACTGGGCTTTCCGACTCACAAAACCTGGACCGCAGGGAAGTTCCTAATGCTACATCTCCTTTGGTAGCTGTCTGAGGAAACCTATCTCGAATCAATACATCTGCTCCGTCTAAAGGGTCGGTTTGGTCCCTGGATACGCACTATCGTGGCCGTTGCTGACTCGGCCAACCTGCAGGGTGACAACCTTACATCCTGCATCATGGCTGACCAATCGTTGGGTGCCTCGGATAGCAATATCACCAACAAGCGAAAGCGCGAAGGTGATGACAGCGCGGGCCCGGATCCTCAGCGCCTGAACCGCTCTTCCAATGGAAGTAGTGGCAGCATGCCTGGCGCGGATGCTCAGAACAACTTCGCACACAGCTCTCTTACTTCCTATGATGCTCACGGTCTCCCTACTTCTACTTCGGAGCTCAACATTGACCAGCAGATCCTCCAACATGTCGGACCACAGAACGGTATCTCCGATGAGAATGCTCTCACTGCCAAAGCTGCATTGGCCGCGCACAATCCTCAAAACAAATACCCGCCTCCCCCCGAACCTTCTTTCGACGCCAATAATCTCGCTCATGGGTTGACATTCGGAGATGATATGGGTCAGGCTATGGGCCCTACTCATGGACACAATTCGACCGCCGCAGCTGTCTACGCTGCGCGCGAAGCCCAGAGTATGAATCAAAAACCGTCCGTTGGTTCTCCTGAGTGGCACCAAATTCGCAAGAATAATCACAAAGAGGGTAAGCTGCGGGAGTTGTTTTATGGGGTGATTTTTAGGCTAATGCGATCTCAGTGGAACGTCGGCGTCGTGAAGCCATCAACGAGGGTATTAATCAGTTAGCGCGTCTGGTCCCCAACTGTGACAAGAACAAAGGCGCCATCCTACAGCGTACAATCGAGTACATCTGCCAGCTGCACGATGAGAAGAAAACGATGAGCGAACGGTGGGAGCAAAACAACATGACTACAAGCCATGCTATCAACGAGATCAGTGCTCAGAATTCCAAGTTGAAATTGGAAGTCAACCGCCGTGGGGATATCGCACAAAAGTGGCTTCAGCGCTGTCGCGACGCAGGTCTCGAGTTCGACGACTACAACGACGCCGAAGAGCTCGAGCCTCTTGAGGTCGACCAAGGTCAGGTCTGAAGGCCGAATTGCGCTTCTGGATAGATGACTTTCCCTTTGCTTCTCTATCTCATGGTCATACATGTGCTACGATCTGTTTTTGTTCGGAGGCTGAGATTCCAACATACCCGCTCTTTCTCTCCGTTAGTCGTTTTCAGTTTCATTCCATTCTAACAAGCCCTGCGAGAAGCCGTGATTTGGGCTCGGTTGCAGGTGCCGTCTTGATCTTTTTCTGATGTCTTCCATCAAGGCCTCTAGAAGCAGACAGGTGACCAATGATCTACAACCTTAATTTGTCCAGCCCGGAGTCGTTTCCCCGGCGCTTCGTGATTTCTCGTTTCCGTCGTCTGCCTTCTTACGCGTATTTTTTACTCTTGTGTGTTATTTTTTTTTTTTTATCTTAAGGGTTGGCGAAACCAGGGTTGGGAATGGAGCCTGCGATATCGCGTTATGGGAATTGCAAATTCGATCTCTCAGATTTACACAGGGCCATTTCGTAGTTTGATCTTGTTTTCCGAAAGCCAAATGACAAAACGCTGTTCATGGAAGATTCGGCTCCCTCGTGGTCAATGACAACCTTAGCACATGAGGCAATCTTAGGGCAATCTTTCACGACATAGCCACGATAGTCAGTTGGTTTCACTGATGGGAATGAAAACATCAGAATATGTCTGAATTGTTCCAAAAATATGCGGAGAAGAGAAAGTAAAGGCGCATATCAGGTGCAGACAGGGTCTGTCTCAAAACAAACTGCTCTTCCGCGACAATTGGGGGCGACTAAATTTACTCACACCTTTCCCCCACGTCACCATCTACTATTTACTCTACAGATTTGACGAAGCGGTAACAGAGGACCCAGAGCTGGTCCCGACATTTTCCACCGTCAGGGTAGCGCCGGACTGGCCAGTGATCCTCACGTCCACGGTATCCTTCCAAACCCACTGCTCATCTCGAAGAAGTTGTAGGAGGTTCTCGTGGTCCCCTGCCAGGTCTTCCCGCCGTCGGTGCTGACCTCGAGCTTCGCGACGGGCTCGGCGGCATTGACGACCTGCATGGAGAACCAATACTGCGATGTCCCCTCCTTGTTCTTGAGGACGAGGGGCGAGGTGATGCCGCAGGGGACAAAGGACCAGGTGATGTCGATGATACCCTTGGAGATGTCGGCTAGTTCGGTGAAGGCGTTTTGGAAGAGGTCGAGGTGGTCGGCCTCGCATTCGGGGCACTGGTCGACGACCTGGGTGATGTTAGCTGGGGGTTGTATGATACGATTGCACGAAGAAGAGACGTACCATTGCTTTGATGGTTTTACCGTTGGGTCCTGTCACCGAGACGCAGGCACCGCATTCCGCGGCGTTGTCCCATGCGGCGCCTGAGTAAGCCGTTCCGAAGAGGCCGGAGGGAAGCGTGTACCCGGTGAACGAGCGGAGACGTTGCCGCCGTAGAAGGTGGCTGTGCCGGAGTGGGTGGCACCTGATGAGGAACTACTGCTGCTGGAGGAGGATGCAGCAGCAGCTGCCTTGTTAGAGGTCTGGGAAGCGGCTGTTGGAGACTCAACAGGGGCTGCCGGAACGATGGCTTGTTCCTGGGTAGCGGGAGAAGAGGGTAGAGCAGATGTCGTTGACGACGAGGAAGAGGGAGCATCGGGAGTGATCTCATTCCCAGTGGGTGTGAGCCAGGGGGTCTGGGATGGAGCCTCTGGGACCCCCACTGGGGAAGTCATGGATGAAGTTGCTTTATCAGTCGTTGGGACGTGGTGGGCGCCCTTGGTGTGCCCGGCCCGACACCGAGCGTGAGCGCGCTCGTACATAGGGCTCGCAGAGACCGATGCGGCCGCGACCAGAGCGGCAACGCATAGACTGGTGAGACGCTGATATATCATTGTTGGATGTTGATATGTCCTGAAGGCGAGGAAGCTAGAATGGAAGAAAAGAGTGCAGAGTCTGTGCTAGACTGCTATTCAGATGCAAAGGGTGACTGGAGACTCTGCTCCTGTTGCAAGTAATGAATGGACACTTGGGCTCAAATCCCAGAAATGAATGTAGTTGCTGTACCAGACAGAAAACTCAAAGAGTGACTTGAAGAGCAGTGCAAAGAAAGAGAGCAAGAAAAAGAGAGGCCCTTTAAGGATATATCAATCAAGAAGAAAGGAGGGTAGAGTCCTCCTCCACGGGGTGAGTGACCGGCCATATTGCCTGAGACTGAGAACGATTCGATGGTGAAACAATAATCTAACGCAATATAATAAGACGAACAATTCGATGAATGCAGACATTAGCGCAAAACGTGTAATGAATCAGAAGCCCTAAAGCACCGAGGCGTTTGTCGGGTTGGAAGCCATGGCTTGCTAGCTTGAATGAATGACTCGTAAAGTCTGAAACGTCCGGCGTGGATAGCACGCACCGAATCTCCCGAAGCTGCAAAATCTCAGCGATCTGGAACCCAGCCGAGGGACTGAAAGCAAGGGACTTGTCCGTCCTGTTGCTTGATTGCATCGGACGAAGGGCCGAATGATGCTGCATCGACCATTTTCTCCGCAGTCTTCGACTCTAGCCTTGACCCTTGAAATTAAACGACTGGCCTAATTCGGTGGAAATACGGTAGGCAGCAGCACGATTCAACGGCTCGAGACCTCAGATTGATGCCATCCGTCTGGTTTGGGAAAAGGGGCAAACCATCCGTACTGGTGTTGGGTGGATTTGAATTTCCCATCCACGATCCAGAGACGAGATCAGAGCTTAACTGGGATACACCATCCACTTGCACCAGACTTCACTGATAAGGTGTAAGGTGTCTTCTCAGTGGCAGATTGAATAGACCTTCTATCTCTGTATCACTCAAAGCGACAGAGCTGCTTTCCTCGGGACGAGTCCCTCATCGGATGCAATCTGCATCGCGAACACACCTTGTCCACTGCTTACTGGTATGGTTGTCCTTCAGGATTAACCAGATGGCCTGGACCTTACAACACCAAATTCAGCGTGAACAGGTAGATAGATTGAAGATCTTTTATGAGACTTTTGCCTACGCCACTGTGCCTTCACCTGAACCTCCGCCGCCTTATATCAAGAGATATTAAGCCCGGGCCGTCAAGATGACTCTTTCTAGGCTAAAAATGAGATCGGCAGTGGTGACTGAGGGCTCGCTATCTCCATATCTGTTTACTTTAACCATTCCTACACAGTCTAACACCGTCTCGAACAGACGTACTCCATAAACTGATCTCGGAAATCCGGCCTAATGATTGGAGATGAGTCTAGACCATAGACTGCAGTCTCAAAGAGCATGAGCTACCCCAATTATATTTCGTAAATCCTACAAAGACGATCAGAAAATCAGGATATCGCAACAGACTAGCAGTTTTACTCGGAGAAGGCTCGTTCTAGTAACCGCAGTGTAGCTGTATCAGATGTGGTTTGGGCCGTCTGCATGGTCCTTACGAGTCAAAAGTAACAAAATAGTGACATAAAAGACTACGTGTATTTACGTAAAATATGAATTAGGTTGCTTCTTGATTCTAATGTTGCCGGTCACCCTAGACTATATCTTGTGTCTTGCTTTGGCGGTTCCGATATGCTCATTGTTCAAATATTATCACTACAAGCTGGCTAGTCTACGCCGAGGAATTACATGCTCACTCCCAGCGCAGTTCAGCCTAGTGGTAGAAATTAAATCTCTATCCTCATCATCGCATGCTAGCTGATGCAACTGTGAGACGTGGCCTCATCCAAAGTTCCAGACTATTGGAGAGACCGGGACCAATCCAGGTATACTTTAGTGAGCTGATTGCATGGTCTCCTTACAATCAAGAACAGTCTATTCGAATGAGAGGATGTCTTCAGCTCGCTCCTACGGATGGAGGATGCATGTGTTCATATAAATACGTATTTGTATATATAGACTACTGCTTACGGTACATAAAAATTGAGGAGTCGCATCTTATGACGCGACAATTCCGTAAGATATTTTTGCAATACCACCTCCAGCTGCATCCGTGGGCTTCGGTGGCAGCAATCATACAGATAAATCTGGGATAGCTAATTTTCAGTCTGTGATGTATGTATATCGCTGAGTTTATCTTCCCATATCAGGCGCCCGTTCTCCCAAGATCCGCATGATCTGAATGGAGACTTGCCAGGCCAACAACTCCACGGACGGCGAAACGCTCGTGGTAGTAGGAGATCTCATACTAGATCAGTATGTCTCTGGCACGGTTCGTCGAAGTGCCCCAGAGGCCGACGTACCGGTCGTGGAGCAGGAGAGAACAGAATACTACCCCGGCGGCGCGGCAAACGTCGCGACGAATCTTGCCGCACTGGGTACGGCAGTTGTCCTGGTCGGAGCTGTTGGAGACGACGAAGAGGGACAGCGCCTGCTTTCCCTTCTGACCAGCGCCAAGGTCGATGTCTCGGGTGTCCAGGTCCTCGCCGACAGGCCAACCTGCCACAAGACCCGCATCATCGGCAACGGGAGACACCTCGTCCGTCTGGACCGGGAAATTGTAACCCCCATCGGGGAAGAGCAACGACGAGCCGCTCTGGATCCTGTGCGTCAGTATCTGCCGCATGCGCGGGGTATGATCTGCTCGGACTATAACAAAGGGTTCCTGTGCGAGTCCGTTCTGCAATCTCTGATCCGCGAGGCTGTCTCGCTGGACAGAAAGGTCATTGTGGACCCAAAGATTGGCGATTGCAGCCGATATGCCGGGGTAACAGTCCTGATGCCCAACCTGGACGAGCTGCGGCTGCTATCCGGGCTTCCTATCGTTTCCTCCACCGATATTGATGCTGCTGCACGGGCAGTTCTGACCAGAGTTCACCCGCAAGCGTTGCTGGTCACCTGTGGCGCTGATGGGATGGTCCTCTATGATCTGGACGGGAAGTCGTTCGTGATCCCAGGCAGAGCCTCTACACCACGCGAAGTCAGTGGCGCAGGAGACAGTGCCGTCGCTGCGTTTGCCTGGGCCTATCTCGTGTGTAGGCGGCCCCTGAAAGAAGCTGCCGAAGTGGCAAATAATGCAGGTAGCATCGCAGTCACGAAATCGGGAACTGCTACCGTCGCAAAGAGCGAGCTGCTAGAGGTACCCTGCAGTGGAGGGTCCTGAAGCCAGAGGGGGAAAGCTTGTGAGCCTCGACGAATGTCTCACTACCTTAAACACAATCCGTGGTGACGACCAGATTGTATCCACGAATGGCTGCTTCAACGTACTCCACGCGGGCTGTATCGGATATCTCCAGAAAGCAGGCCTTCGTATGTCGTTGCAAAAGTCCCTGATAGTGGGACTCAACTTGGACGCGTCCGTAGACAAGATATTGAAGGGGAAGATGGTGAGAGCAGGCCTCTCTTAGGCGATTTAGCAATTGTAGTCTATTGAGTGGACACTAAAATTCGATGGAGAACTTCATTCAACGAAAAAGTGGCAATGAACAAGACGAGCCTGAGCGATTCGTCAAGTGTCTATCTAAGAGTAGTCTTGTGCCAGCGTGGAGAAATGATACAAGAAAGGGTATAGATCAGGAAGAGGACAGTGATTGGCAGATAAGCAAGGCAGGTCAAGGATCTCATCAGAGAATTCAAGACATCATTTGGAATCCCACATGATTTCGTTCAATTTCAAGAGCGCATCAGCGCTGGCTTTCTTCGCAGCCATAAAATCTTCCCGATTCTCAGCTCCGCGAGGTCCTCTGAGAACTTCTGAGAAGCAAAGGTCAATAAGGACCTTCAGCTCATCATAGGTGAGCGGTTCGCCATTGCCTGCAGCCAACGCCTGTTCGCCCTGCGCAGCGAACAGCTCCTTTTCATCTTTGGCGTACTCCAATGTCTTTTCCGCACCATCCAAGAACCAGTCAAGGAATTTGGCACTACGCGGAAGTGCAACGACCTTGTCAGGATGCTCTGGTTCCTCTGTTGTGGGATCCTGGGCTTTTTCTGGTGTCGGATCAATGATTATATTCTTGAGGTTCTGCTGTAGAACGAGCACGTCAAGTTGCAGCCGCAAGGCTCCATTCTCATTCATGGCTCCAATGTGACGTGTAGATGAAACAAATGCTTGATCAATAAATCGAGCAAGACCCGAGGTGATGAACCAATGTTCAGCGGGGCCGAGATATGACGAAATGTTCGTATCAAAAGCGATCAAGTCATTGTTCAGCTCGAGAATCGTGGGAGAAGCAGCTGTGGGCTGATTTACAAGGATATGCCACCAATTCATGTTCGAGTCCGGTGAGGGGGTCGTGGGTTCCGAATCGCGGTTGCTGGGGGGGTTGGGGCCAGCCATTGTGCGAGTCAACATGTGAATGACGCCGCATCGAATATCAATGTGAAGAGCAAAGAGCGCGGTCGAGGCCAGGTTACGCAGCGATTGAAGAGTGGTATCAAACGCGTTGGCTGTTTCATAATTCAGCGGCAGATACACTGGCTGGCTTATGCTGTCACGCCTTGATTTCATGGCTCCAATCAGGGTCCACCGCCGAGGAGGTGCTCTAGTCTCAGACTGTGGCTGCCGCAACTCTGAGGCTGTGATCCGGCGCAGCTTGGTAAGGTGACTTGCAAGCCATTGCTAAAAAAGAGTCAGCCACGTTTCGAAAGGCAATGGACCAGACAGAGTTTGTGACAGAATATTACCATGCTATTGTAGAGAAGCGACAGTGCTACCACTGTTTTGGGATCGGATATAATGTCGTACGGCTCTAATGATACCTCGTCTGTGCGTTTGAGCAGAAGCTCAATTTCCTAGGATAATCAGCGGCTGATCCGACGTTCGAAGACGGGCAGAAGAGGGGAGAGTATCTACCTTATCGATGAGTTCCTTCTTAGCGTCTGCTGGCCCCTCCCAGAGTTCCAGAACTGTATCATGGATATCACCAGATTCGGCGAACTCTGCTGCGGCTTTGAGGCGGACTTGACCGTGATTGCGAGGCGAGACCTTCGTGACAATAGCTGGAGAGACATATCAGCCTTTGAACTATCAACCTGGAAGGTAGTGGCTCTTCTAACCTTTGTACCACCCACAGCACTTGTCATAGTAGGTCACAATCTGGGTAATTAGAAGCTGTGTGAAGGCTTGATCATGCGGAATGCTGGACAGCATTTTACTAAACTCCCATATGATTGACATGAATTTGACAGTTCCCTGTTGTATTTGAGATTAGGAAAGATCAACCAGGAAGATATGAAGACGCAGGTACTTGCCTTGAAAACAGGCCGAGGGGAGGATTTTGACCATTGAGGATCTTCCGTGAACGCGTCTGGCGCGATGAAAATAAGAGTGCAGAGATCTGTGACTGTCTCATCCAGTTGGGGAAGAAAGACGTTGACGAGAAAGTCATCCAAAAAGGACGTCAAAGTGCTCAGAGCAATGTCCGCATCCACAGGCACTATGTCCTTCAATCGTTGTATGAAGGATAACGAAGGCGGAAGAAGAAGACTCATGTTGAACACGCTGGGTTCAATGAGTATCTTATGACCGGTTCCAGAATTTCCTTGCCCGTCTCGTGAACTGTCTGTCGTTGTGTACTTCTCCCTGGTTTTCGACACTAAACCAGGAACCGAGGTCTTGAGGATCTCATCCAACTCGTCTTGTTCCGCTTGCATTTCCGTGTTTTGCTCTGTTTCGGACAGTTTAAACAATTTCTGTAAAGTGTCAGCAAGATTCTGCCATGGCTAGACGTGTCCTAAGCAGACGCACCTTGTTCCTATCCCTATGGCCAGCGTAGATTTGACGTTTAGCATCGGCTTCTTCTTCTCTCAATCGGAAGGAGGACTCTCCATCGGTCGCCAGGTAATCGTGCAATAGGGAACGAATCTATAGAAACCGTGAGCTAGACGGCATTGAGAGGGCGTAAGCTGGATCCAGGACGACCACTAACCTCACTCTGATAGAGCTTCCACAACTCTTTGAATCCACCTGTGAGTGAACTGTTCTTAGGAATACTCTCGCGCTCCACGATTCCGGCAATGGCGTCGTGGAGGACACGGTGACCTTCAGCAATAGCTTCAAACTTGGCATATAGAGTCCATAAGAACTCCGTCAAAACATGTCCGCGTTTCTCAATGGCCTCTGTTGGCAGACTGGTCTTGCTATCCCGGGATGCGAGGCCTCGGCCCAAATTTGGATGACGCGCGTCGACTTCCGCATTTGTCTTATCGACCACTACAAATAGCTCAACTGGGAGACGCTGTTCAATGCGGTCAACTGCTATGTCCAAATGGCCCATCTTGTTCAGCGCCTCAATTAAAAGTCGGATATAATAGAACGTGTCAGCCTCCGGGTTTCGAGAGGCGTCCTCCACCAGGGGCGTGGTGGCGTCCAGCTTCCCAAGAAAGGAGTAGACAGGTTTTTCCCAGGTTGCTACTCCAGTCCAGCTGGAGGCGTTTGCGGTGCCAACTTCTCCCTCCGGCGCTGGCGGTTTCCACCGACCGGAGCAATAGGGGGATTTGAGATACAAGTGATCATGCAACTCTTCTATCAGGATATCGGTTAGAGAGATCTCTTGGTTCGCAAAGTAGGCGCGTATGTCTGCCAGAGCTCCGATATTCTCCAGCTCGGAGCGCCGTAACAGTCGGAAGGCATCGTGAAGCACCTCGACAGCACCAAGAAATCGCTTGTCGGATATTCGGGACTCTAGCTTCTCAGGCAGGGATTGTATCTCCTGGATTTGACTGAAAAGCTGGATTAAGTCATCGTATTTCTGGGAAGACGTCGCTAGCCCCTTCAACTCGGGCTTCGTATAGAGTAGCCCAGCTTTGGCGTCCTCCAGCGCATGTTTTAGATTTCGCACTCGATTCTGCGAGCTTTGTATATTGGACTGGATCTTGTGATATGTACCAATGGAACTGTTAAATCCCTGGTGATGCTCTGATCACTATGTTCAGTATTGGTTTGACAAGGATCTGATGGGATGACCGACCATTGACGACAGACTTCAAAGTCTTCTGGATCTGCTGATTCATATTGAGAAAATCAGGTTCGCGATCTGCTTTGCCCAATGTACTCGTGTCCATCAACTGCAATGCTACCTGCACCGGTACACAATCGTCGGAGGCCACGAAGCCCCAGTCGCGTTGGATCGCCTGAAGGATATCTGGAAAAACATCAACCATCCAGATCCACCATGCAGACAAGTTCCCTCATTGACGTCGATAGAAATAAAAATGATGAATGGGCCGGCAAACCTTCCATAGCTTGAGAACCCCCGCCACTGCTCACGGGTTTGGCTCCTTCAGGACTACTCCTCTCCATGCTGCTGCTGCTGACCACCCAGCCAGTCTCTCCCCGTGCTCGACCATCCCGCGAGCCCGGCGGCCTCCTCTCCGAGTCTATGTCTCGTGTGCGCGATCGCGACGAGGAGTTCTGGCGGTCTCCCTCCCATCTCTCTCGGCGCCGCTCCGGCGAGGTCGAAGGTGTAGGCTCTTGCGAGGACTCGTTAAAGAAACCACCATATCCACCCGGACGCCGATCTCTCCCCCCTGAATACCCATTGACAGCTAAGTTGCTGTTGTTGCTCCCGTATCCGCCATCACTCCGATCGTATCGATTGCTTTCGGAATATCCGTATCCGTCGGCGTAACCGTTTCTGCCGTTCATACCAGAGGATTTATTTGGGGAACAGTAAGAGTGCTGATTTCTGAGAGAGGGCGGATCAATAAGGCGACGACGAGAATAAATACGGCGGAGGAGCTGTCAATTGGGCTCTCGATTGCTGGCGCTGTCGCAGGGTATCAAATGGTGGGGAAAGCAGTCATGATCGGTCTTAAGGCTGCTAATCGGAAACCTATAAGAAGGACATGCGATTAAATTATTCAGCAATGGAAGTTAAGAGGTTATTGTTCAGACAATCGTAACAAAAGCACACGGTACGGAATGTGATTGAAGAGGCCGAAGGTCTGGGTCCGCAGCTCACAAGTCGCAACCGCCTGATTTCCCCACACAAGCTTCCCGGCATCGGCAAGCCACGTCTGGGAATGGCTACGTACATCCACTGAAACGGACATCCTACGTTCATAATTCTAATGACTGGCAGCACTATGATCTAGCTCTATGTGATCCCCAAAATTGATTCTAGAATACGTTATTGACTGCTGCTATTCGAAGCCACATTAGCT